TATATATATAAATCAAAATTGCAAAAAAAGGAATAAAGGCAGCAGAGAGAAGAAGAAAATGTTACCAATCCTTTAGTATTTGAATCATTAATTATTAGGTGTTGGTGGTACGTAGGTAGGAAAGTATTCCTCTTCCTGATCTATCAGGATCCCTCACTGTTCTGTTCCTCCCACCTGCAGATGTTGGAGGAAGATGGACGGCGTGGTGTTACTGGATGGATGTCGAGTTGGCTGGGAGGCAGAGGAGCACAAAGTGTCCCAAACACTCCACTAAGACCCACCGCTGGCCATGGGTTGAATACGGTAAATAAAACGTCATGAAAAGAAGTCACCACTTCATCCACTCATAATTTATCACTATTTGTTGAGACAACTTCAGTTCCATTAAATTGTAGACATTGTGTAAATAAGACATATTCTGTTCACAATTCAATGTAGTGAACATATCAGTGTTTAAATCAAGATATACAATTTTATTTAAAAACATCTCAAAAAAGTTGAACCAGAGACAAAAACAATATATAAAAGACAGGGTATGAAATGGACGGATCAGATAAAGTGGAGAACAGTTCTGTGGTATGAAGGAGCTGAATCTGAAATGAGTTTTTGTTACACTACCAACAAGGACTATCCAGCCTGTTTACATGCACAGTTCAAAAGCCTGCCTCTCTGATGCTATGTGGGTGCATTAATAATGCATGCAGAGCAGAAAGTATTAAAACAGCACATGGAAAATAAAAAGACACAAATCAATTTAATGAACTGATTCTAAAGACWCAGACTATAGTTACTAAAATCAGAGCATGCATGCACAGTAGATCTGCACAGGTATCCTGCTCCTGCCTGTCTGTTGACCAATAGTAGAAGAGCTGAGCCAAGAAGCTACACCCACTTTATTTGCATAATGAGGAAGAAATGCGTAAGGTAATGTAAAAACAGGAGACAGAGAAATGTAAAAACAACACCTGGAAATAAAAAGACGTGACAATAAAAATAATTGTGGGTTAATAAATAAGTGGGTTAATAAAGAAAGAGGAGATGTTTACAGTGGGTTAATAAAGAAAGAGATGTTTACAGTGGGTTAATAAAGAAAGAGATGTTTACAGTGGGTTAATAAAGAAAGAGAAGATGTTTACAGTGGGTTAATAAAGAAAGAGAAGATGTTTACAGTGGGTTAATAAAGAAAGAGGAGATGTTTACAGTGGGTTAATAAAGAAAGAGGAGATGTTTACAGTGGGTTAATAAAGAAAGAGGAGATGTTTACAGTGGGTTAATAAGGACCTGGACACTGCAGTCTGTTTTTATTGACATTTGATGCACAATCAGGACTTTGTCAGAAGTTGGGTTGTAAATAAACACCAGCAGAGGTTTGATGTTCCAGATTAAATGTTGTCATGCTAACAGACTCACTCTAACTCTGTTTTTGTTGCAGTCCTTCTCAGAGATGTTTGTAAAGTTTTTGGAGATGGAATCAACTCCTTCTCTTCCTGCACCGAAGCTTCCAGTCCATGACATGAAGCCTCTGAGTGCCCCACCTCCAGGAAGAACCAGTGCTGCTGCTGCTGCAGGTGAGAACCTCCACAGCCAGGTGTCTTTACCTCTCACTTATAAATTTAAATAGAAGTATTTTTTACAAACATGACACACATGGTATCTACACTAACACCTCTGTGACTTTAGGAGCTGCAGCGTCCAGCAGGCGAGCTGCTGAAGCCACCCTGTTCCTGGCCCCTCGCTCTGCAGCTGTGCCTCTGCTGGCTGCCTCTGGGTCCAGCAGCTCAGGAGGTCACCTGCTGATGAAGCCCATCTCTGACGCTCTGCCCACCTTCACACCTGTACCTGTGTCAGCTGAGGCCAGTGGAGGAGCTGTGCTCAAAGACTTGTTAAAGCAGTGACAGGACTCACACTCATCCAGCCTGACTTCAGCTCTACACACACACACAGATCTGTGGAGCAGTTCTGCTGRTTAACACCGCTTTTATCCTTCCAGCACAAATAAATCATCAGTGACTCCATGAAAACTTCAGATGACCGGTTTGAAAAGGTCCTCAGACTGAAGGTATTATGGTTACAGTTCTGTGCACCAGGCTTTAAACACCTGTGGAACACTTTGTCTCAGAGCTGCTGCTGGGTCTGAAACCACAACTTAAAGATGAAGCAGCTCCACATGACAAAATAAAACTGAATAAGAACATTTGTAACATGTGGAGCTTCTAGCATGAGAACTGCAGACTGAATCCTCTTTCTTCATTTTCTATTTCCCCCCCAGTAATGAAAACAAGTGACCTTATAAACTCAGTGTTGGTTCAACACAGAGCTCTGATCATCACCTGCGCAGGTGGAAATATATTCTGTTGTTTTCATTTATCACCTTACATCAGAAACATTGTTTTTTTTTTCTTCTTTTTTCTTTGATCCAAGACTAACATAAGAAGTCTGGCTCCAACAGTGAACACAGGGATTTATGGGTTCAGTCCATCCGTTGAAACCATTAAGATGTGTGTTTTCCACACAGCCAGAGTGCAGTATGCAATGATGGCTGCAGACTATTATGTTTATGAACACTATTATACAGATATAATGTACATAAATAACTTTTGTTTTATATTATTTAAAGGCACAAATGAAGATGTGGAAGTTAAGTGCCTCTATTTTTGCAAATTAGTGGTATGATCAGTTCTGTAAATGGCCAATAGATCTATATTTTAAAAATCATTAAAAAATAAAGAAAAACATGAAATCTAAGAAGTTCCACCTGATCAGCAGGCCTGCATATTTGTAAAGACATTATTCAGCTGCTGCAGGAGGAATGTTACAGGACCGGGCCAGGTGCACCAGTGAAATGTAAAAACTGTAAATCCTGACTGGAAATGTTTCTGTGAGATGTAAAATCTGAAACTTGGAAGTAGAACAAAGGGGTGGAGTTATTCTGAATGTGGATGATCTTCTGTTCAGGTTGGTGACCTAATGGGAATTTGACTTTAAATAAAAGGTACCAGTTGGTAACCTCTCATTTATGAGTTGTCTAGTTTATTTAGTTCCTCCTTTTCCAGTGTGTGCAGTAATCTGTTGGTGCTCTGGATGGTGATGTTCTCCATGATGTAGGAGTGGACTATGTCAGGTCTAACAAGACTGACTAACTCCCTAGAACATTTAAATCTCAAGCATTTTATTCTTTTAAAAATAAAGATAAAGACATTGCCTTGAAAGTGAATAAATTATTAAATAAATAAACCATGTAGTGGCAGGTGCCGGAAGCAACAGCATCCAAAATACATCAAATACCCAAAATGAGCAAATTCTACGAGCTTTTKTACAGGATTCCTTTGTGAGTCACTTTCATGATTCTGTTTGCATTTTCCACATTGTGAAAACCGTAGGGCCCTACATATCTCACTCCTGTTTTTATTTATTTTTTCACACACCTGGGACATTTTTCCATGTACCTGCTGTAATATGCTGACGTAGCCCAAGGAGTACATGTACCCCTGGATGGGAATCACTTAGGGGAACTTTGACCACCAATTTGTTTACAAAATGTGCCATTCATTACATTATGTTTTTATTTATATTTGACACAACATCTAAACGTAGTTAAAGTTGGGGTTTTACAATAAAGAAAAAATACCTAAACCTTTGCTCATGTACTAAACTATTATCAATCAATAGTAGCCATAAGCGCTTCACTGATGAGGCGGTACAGTATGTTTTGGATCATGAGTGGTTCCATCCTTCATTCTCTTCATTTTTCTCATCACTCTGGTACTTGTTCTAAATAAAAGACATTTAAAACTATTGCATAATGTTTAGGTTCTAACTTGTGTAGTACGTAGCCTACTTGGTCCTCAATGTTGACGAGTACTCAAACTGAAGTACTTTTACTCGTATACTCAATTTGAGAAAAACTGGGAAAACACTAAATGTAGCACAGAAAAGAAATGTGTGTTTGGTAGATTATTTCTTTGTTGTAACAAGACTTGTTGGCAATAAATCTGGCTGGCAAAACCTGGGAGTGTACGTACGCTCAAAACAAGTATCAATAGTAAAATAAACTGCYGCAGAGAAGATATGGCAACTCTTTTATTTGTGCAACCCATATACTGAGTTCTGCTACTCATCCCACAGATGCATGTTCCTTACAAATGTGGCTCCATTTAAAAAGGAAATGAACAGGATTTCTAACTGTATAAGATTAATTTCCAAAAACAAAAAAGAAATAATCTATCAAACACAAATTTCCATAATTTTCATGCTAACTTTCTGTGGTGGGCACCAGCCCGCTAAAGTGCAAATCCTCTAGTTACGGACCTAAATATTTTGTTTGCACTTTCGCAGTCTTACTAATTTTTATAATTCATAAGCAGATTTGTGCTTTCTAAAATTAAAAAGCAGTACCACTAATAACTAATAATCTACCAGTCATCA